TGCGCCAAGTAAGTGGTATTCGACCGCTACTCGTCCACGAGCGTGTGCACGACAAGTGGTTAAGACCCCGCTCTCCCAATTTACTTGTCATAAAGCCTCCCCCTTGAGAGAACGTTCTCAATATATCAATGTAAATTATATTTCTGAATTTCATTCTGAAGAAAGTCATCTAAGGAAATTATAGGACAGTGCACAATTAGTGGTGGAGTTATACCAGTCTTCTGGTATTGATCGTCGAGTAACTCAGGTGCCGGGGTCTTTAATAATACCCTCGTAACCGTCCTAATCTCCTCTTTCTTCAATTCATTGGATTTATATTCGTTTTTGATTCATTCAAATTTCTGTCTAATTGCACAAACAAATTCGATTTTTCCATTTCGGCGAGAAAGAGCGGCCATGTCGGGGGGAAATAATCGGTTTAGCCAAGTGAAGCACTTGCCAGTCGTTTACATAACGTAATTTTCTACCAATATGCCTACTGTTACTGCTTTCAACCCCGTGCCTTCAAAGCCATTTGTGAGGCGAGTTACTGACACAATTCCTGATAATTTACTATAGAAGAATTAAATAATCCCTTAAATTGACCATTATTAGTCTGGAGTGTTTCAAATCAGGTCTTATAAATGGGGTCAAGTTTGAATTAGAAACCATCACACATGGATCCATTTAATAATATCACTTCACAAAACACAAATTCTAGCTTGCACACGTCTTTAACGACTTGCTCTAATTTTTAACAAAACACATAAAAAAGAAACGAGACTTTCATCACTGAAGTAATCACTTTAAAAAGTTGAACTCTGACCCTTTTAAGCAAATCAATCTTTCTGTCTGTATTGCAAGGACTATATAACAAATGAAATGGGGTTTGGCGTCCTGCTCAATACGGCTAATGAAGACGGGCATACGCCATATAGTGTGCTATGAGGGAAATTTTGCCCAGACAGCCGCGCTACGGCCTACTCCTATATCGACAATGTGTACACGCGACCTCATTCTTTCGTCCTACCCGAACAACTAGACAGCTGTCATTGTCAGACACTCCGTCCTGCATCACTGAAAAGAGAAAACCACTCCGGAATAGCAAGGACTGTAAAAGAATAGGACTAATAAAGACGAGCATACGCCAAGCAGTATGCTATAAGGATAATTTTCACCTACTCGAATTCAATCTATCAAGGTTTATTTTACGAGAATGCCAACGTGTACACGATTGACGTCCCACCCGAACAACTAGACACGGTTCCTTACAGAGACGTTCGTCCTGCACCCCGACAAGAGAAGCGTTATCGGCCAACACAAGGATCTAACCAGGGGCATCCAAAGACGTTTTTAAGGAATTTTGAGGTCTCAGGGAAGGAGGGGGCAGATTTTCGTCCCATCCTTGCAAGGTGGAACCACGGAGGGAAAAAAAGATGAACGTTATCGACCAACACCAAAATCGAAACCGGAACCTCTCTGGCTATTTTAAAGGAATTGTTAGGTTTCAGGATGGTGGCGAGTGGTAGACAAGTTTTGAATTTCGGCATACCTTAAGTCGATCTGGCTCATGCCTGAATCTCAACCGTAAATGGAGATTTCCAAATTAGCGCAACTTTCGATCGGACACTAGTCAAATAACCCAAACAGAATCTAGTTATCTATCTTTTTTAAATCGTTCTAACCAGTTATCTATCTTTCTATGTTCTAACTAGTTATCTATCTTTCTAAATCGCTCTAACTAGTTATCTATCTTTCTTCTAAATCGCTCTAACCTGTTATCTATCTTTCTTCTAAATCGCTCTAACTAGTTATCTATCTTTCTAAATTGTTCTAACTAGTTATCTATCTTTCTAAATCGTTCTAATCAGTTATCTATCTTTCTAGATATCTACCTCTTGAAAGTTGGCAAATGTATCACAAAAGGTATAAAAATCTAATCTAGGTGCTGACTACTAGAAATAAAACCCCGGCACCATAACATTGAAATCGACGCCCAGTGAGGGTAACATTGATTATGGATTATAACCAAATATGTGTATATGAAAGAACTTACTATTAGAGACCTATAGCAAGATTTGATATAAGTAACTCAAAAGACCTAAATAAAGAAAGAAATCGGGGGTGGAGACGTTAAACCCCATTTCACTTTATTTCAAAAGTTTGGTTCAACAAACTATTGTTAGTGCTCTCGTGGTATTAAACAATCCCAAACAATATCTCACCGTCCGTCTGTCGGAGCAGTAGAATTTTATATTTACCTGGTTCGCGGGATTTTTATTAACAGTAAAAAAAAATATAATCGGTATCAGGACGAGGGCTGATCTTAAGGTTTTAAGTATAAATGTCCAGCTGGTCCTTTACACTTAAAAACATAAAGCATATCCACATCAAGCTTCAAAGAAGTTTTTTCCCCTTTGTCAGTGGCGCAGGGCGGAGAGCCTGACAAGGATAGTGATTAGTCGTTCGGATGGGACGAAAACCTGGCGTGCTAGAATACGATGCCGAATGATAATCAGTCCGCTATTGGATCGTTTTCGAGATATTCGAGATATGAGGTCATTTGCGCTGAAAGTGAATGCGCAGCCATTCTTGTATCATGAAAACATGCTGAAAATGATCGAAAGTAATCACTCTTTCAATAAAAATGTAAACTTGCTAAATTCATATTTGTTCTTTGTGACCCCGGAGGTCAAAAGATCAAATTTTCCGTTTTTGCACTAGGAAGATTAAAAAAAATAAAATGTCAGCGTAAAATATAAAAACTAAAGCCAAACCTGTTATAATAAATAGAAGGAACATTTAAAACTGGTTTAACGATCCCCGGCTTTTTTTAAAAACCAGTTCAACTTAAGCGTCTCAAGGGGCTATTAGTGCCTGTTCTCGTTGAGTGTGTCCGACACTGACTAGAATATGCCCCTTTCATTAATGCAAGGGGCCGTGACAATTTCAGCCAGGGGTCCCCATGCAAACATATTGGAGACAAGAGAACTGCCAATAATATCCTTTATATAACAAGACATTTCTATAATATCCAGATTATATTTTATATCTCTGTTCTAAACTTAACATTTTAAACTCTAGTGTGAAACACTGACCTCGTGCTCTTTGCAGATACAGTCATACGCTGATGACAGTGTACTGATAACGATGTGGGCATGGTTTCCGTTATTTACAATAGTTGTTTTATAGGTTCTCAAGTGTTGTATTACTTATAGTATGTACATTTCTTGACATTTTTACAGACAGAATTAATACGAGAATATATATATATTTGTTGGGGATACCCTACGACGAATATATTAGCAACCCTGAAAAAATCAGATTAAGATCGATGTTGAAAGAATCCAAGATTACGTTCACTTCTGCACTAGTTAACCTAAACCACCGTCTATAATCATTGAATGAAATAATATGGGAACGAAAGTCAGCAATGAGCAGGGTCCTCTTAAGCCTATTTAGCACCCCAGGCCAAAAGTTTCAGTGGCGCCCCCCCCCACCCTCAATGCATGCTGTAAATGCTTTGTTCAGTGTCTGCGCTCAGTTGATTTTTTTTTTATGATTAAAAAAATTTTAAAATACCATTTTTTTTTTATACTTTTAACACTTTGTCTAAATTACTATTTATATGCAAATTTTTTATGTTTATTTTCCCTTCAATTCCCCATTTGATCGGAAAACCTATACTATATCTGGGAAAAATCATAATTCTACGCTCTCTATTTGCTGAAATATGAACTGATTTACACAGGTTTAGAGAAAGCGAAGACCGGAGATTTGTTATCTCGGGATATAAATTTCAAATAATAATTTATAATGAAAACAAAACCCAAAAAACTTACAAAAATGCAGGTGTATTTTTAAGAATTATTGTATTTACATTTAAAAATGTAAAATAACGAAGTCTCCCTAAGAGAAGTCAATCTATAAATAATTTTGAAAAGCAACGCCCGACGCAAAGGGCGGCGCGTCGCTTTATAACGTCGATGTCGCTTTTTTTCTCTCTTTTGCTTCACATTGGAATAATCGACGCGAATTTTACGTCGCGCGTGAAGTGGCCGAAATAGAACACCATAGTTTTGTGTGCGACCAAGAGACGTTAACTGTGTAGTAAAAGTGATCCAAGGGAGACAACCTCTATTAAGCACTCCCATATTCCAGATCCGATATAGAGGGAACTGTTTAGTTGCTGCCTGTCGCAATACCTTTACGAAGGCCAATTTAAGATTTAATTTTATGCACAAATAAACTTTCATATAATGGACAATAAAACAATGAATTGGCACATTGAGGTCCGAAAAGAATTCTGTATTCAATATCCCAGTTTTGACAGAAAAGTAGAATGTTAAACTCTATTTCATTTCCAAACAGAATCGAAAGGTAGGCTTGTGCATTTAAATCACGACCCAATAATTATTATGTTCTTTTGATGAATTATCAGGATTCCTTGGTGGTATTTCCTAATAATATAGGTGTGTGTGTGTGGTGGGGGGGGGGGGGTGTGTGGCCTGGATGGCCGAATCGTTAGGTCTGTATCATAAGGTCTGTTATTGAGTCAACTGGCATGGTTTCGATTCACCGGTTGTACGTGCATGCGAATTATTGAAATAAAATTGAACAATATGTTAGTACCAAAATGACCTAGTTTGTGTCAAGTGGATGTTAAACCCCATTGATCTCTCACTCGCTACTGGGTGTATACAAACAACATACGGTACTATATTACATTAGGCCCAAATTGACAGAGTTTGTGTCAAGTGAATGTTAAACCCCATTGATCTCTCACTTGCTACTGGGTGTATACGGTATACAAATAACATACTGTACCATATTACATTAGGCCAAAAATGACTGAGTTTGTGTCAAGTGGATGTTAAACCCCATTTACCTCTCACTTGCTACTGGGTGTATACATATAACATACTGTCCGAGTTTATGATGAAAACAATTTAATGTTCTATTGCATTTCTGTATTTTTATACATCTTTTTGATAAAAAGAGATAACAAATATTTACTGTGCATTATACAAGCAAATAAAATGGACCCTAAATGAGATGAAGTTTTAACATAGTGGACATGATTGTATAATAACTTTATATAAAATATATACAATAACGTTAAAATAATATACATTTTAATTTATAACAAAACGGATGCTTAATGTATAGGAAAACTGTCAGAATTAATAATGAATAGATAGGAAAACTGTATAGGAAAACTGTCGGAATTATTAATACATAGATGCCTGGTGTATAGGAAAACTGTCGGAATTATTAATACATTGATGACTGTTGTATAACAATCTGATTAAAATACAGATCTATATTTCGTTTCGTTTATTTATACTTTCGATGGCCACTACATGAAGATCTGATAAGTTGTACGTGTAGGTTGTGTCAGAGGTCAACAAGCGTCTTTTGATGTCAGACATTGATTAATCAATCGGTGTTGATGTTTCTAGTGGTTTACCCACAGTTCCGTGCATGGCACGCCAAGAAGTCGCCGTAACAAACTGTTTCATCGGCTTATCCCTCGCTTCCGCCAAAAAGCCGGTAATATAACAACCCTTCCAGATCCTAGTGTAGTAAAGACAAGTAAAGCGAAATTTTGAACAATAAAAAACGAAACGAAATAGGATCTGTGTTTTCATCAGATCGGTTGTATAGGAAAACTGTTGGAAATAATAATACATAGATGCCTGGTGTATAAGAAAACTGTATATAGCAAAATGTTTACCACTCTGATGTAGTAAAATGTTAACCACTCTTATAGTAAAAAGAGAATATCATCAGCACAATATTCAGGTCATTCCGAGACAAACATAGCTAATGGTTCCCTGTACAATGCGGGGTCAGAGTATTTTGCCCTGACAGCAGTGTTTCTGCCCACTCTTCTACGATTCCCAACTATCAAGGGTTCTTTTTTGTCCCATCCAAAATACTAGGCATGTTTTTTTTTCAGCCAGCAATGAAGATGGGGCTTGCAAAATCTGATTGTTTTTTTTTTCAACCCACACCTGGACATGAACCAGGGATAGTCTAGTTCTGAGTCCAGCGTCCTGACCGATCATCAACCATGGATCCTATAAAATAAGATATTGTCATTTCCAAACTCATTGCTAGACATATTTGGATCAAAGTTATGAAATATGAATTTACTTTGCAAAGTTTTCGTGCGTTATCAAAAATGACCGGCAGTGGAAGCCCTGATTCATAACTATTAAATCTCCTTTGATTTGGAGGTCGAGTATAAACATTTTACACCAGTTCAACTATGAATGATAAACCAAAATTACCATGTCTCCACCAATAAATAGCAACAAATTCTCTTTTAGAAACAGAAATATACAATAGCAATAATTTCATTTTTATAAAATATTTTACTTAAATATATAAATCTGTCGACATGTTATCTAATTCATTTGTTTAAAATTGACTACAAAAGATGGTATAGAAAAATGGTAGACAATTTTATAAATCATCACGCACAGTAGCATTCTCAAGCAATGATATATATACAGCTATTCCAGTATCAAGTAAACAAATGAAATGAAATGGGGTTTAACGTCCTACTGTTCTGCTCCGAACTGGGCTAATGAAGACGGGCATACGGCATACAGTGTGCTATGAGGGAAATTTTGCCTGGACAGCGGCACTATGGCCTACTCTAATATCGAATTCCAACTGTCAAGGGATCTTTTACGTGCACGCCAATGTGTACACAGGGCCTTGGTTTTTCGTCCCATCCGAACGACTAGACGGCTGTCCTTGTCAGGCCCTCCGTCCTGCATCACTGACAAGGGGGAACCACGCCGGAAAATATGGATGAACTTTCTCGGCCAATGCAGGGATAGAACACCCGACCTCCAGGCTAGCGAGCCAGCGTCTTACCCACTTAATCACCATGACCCCCCCTCCCCCCTATCAAGTAAACAGATATAAATACAAGGTACAATTTTATGGATACACATTTATTATCATACTAGCCTAAAATTAAATTAACACAAGGTAAAATTTTATGGATACACAATTACCTGTATCATTTGCTTGATAAAGACGAAAGTATCCTCATCGATACGTCGCTTAGTATCAAACTCAGTAATTGTGTATCCATAAAATTGTACCTTGTGTTAATATGTTTAATTACTAAATGCCAATCAAAGAACAGATATAAATAGTTATATAATCAAAGAAATAAGAATTGGTATCAGATGTTCCATAAAGAGTAAGCATATTCTTTATTCTACAGCTATCCATACATGTAACTATATGGAGGGGTAAATTGCTACATTCATCCTTTCAGTTGATTCAATCATCCATCAGTTCATCTGGTTCATAATAATCTTGTTCTTCATCTTCATCATCATCATCATCATCATTATCAGACATGCTGAATAAATTCTCATCAACTCTCTCAGGGCAAAATAAGGTTCTTCGTTTATTGGCTATAGACACTAGTTCATTCTAAATAATAAACAAACATTAAATGTTAGCATGCATTTAATAATGTGAAAATTGAGTAACCACTGGAATTTTTGGCCACAAAACAATGCGCTGTCTGAATGAGAAAACAGCACCACTGATATTTTTTCTTTTGGAACTGACATGACTTGACTAACTATGGAAAATGAAATGAAATGGGGTTTAACGTCCTACTGTTCTGCTCCTATACTGGGCTAATGAAGACGGGCATACGCCATACAGTGTGCTATGAGGGAAATGCTGGTCGGGCAGCGGCACTATGGCCTACTCATATATCGAATTCCAACTGCCAAGGAATCTTTTATGTGCACACCAATGTATACACTGAACCTCGCTTATTCGTCCCATCCGAATGAATAGATGGCTGTCCTTGTCAGGCCCACCATCCTGCACCACTGACAAGGGGAAACCATGCCAGAAAATCCTGATGAACTTTTTCGGCCAACATCTGGATCGACCCTGCAACTTCCAGGCTACCAAGCCAGCATCTTATGCACTTAGCCACCATGGCTCCTGACTAACTATGGAGCACATTGCTTGTATGTAATATAGACAGAGAAGAATGAAATATAATAACCTTTTTGACAGGTTTTGTTTTGGTTAATTTTCGACGTTTTAAATAATGATGTACAATCTTATCTGCATTCTTCCTGAAAGTATAAAAACTGAATCAATAATATAAGTTATTAAACAAGTGGACATTATAAAAAATAAACAAAATGTAATACAATATATTTTACAGTAACCCTTTAACTATACGGGCTTTGAAGAATCTATATATTATATGATTAGGAAGGTTGCACATGTTAAACAAATTTATTGAACTAAAATCATCAAAAGCAGTATTTTGATTACTGCCTGAAATTTTGCTGAATATATGTTTTTTTTGCCTGAAAATATCATTTCATAACCTGAAAAATTGTATCAATAGACACATTTGCAAGACTATACTTTTCTACTCTGTATTATAGCTAAAGGAAATTACAAAATACAGAAACAGGTATTAAAGCTTTGAAAGGTTCTATTTAAAGCCTTCAAAAAAAATAATAGAAACCTGGCTTCAAAATTATTATTTTAAGGGCCAGCCCATCAGACTAACAAAGAAAGATAGAAACCGGACTTCAAAATTATTATTTTAAGGGTCTGCCCATCAGACTAACAAAGAAAGATTTTCATTAGTAAAGAGAATTAGTCTGTTAGTCCTATTTATTTCTGTGACACCACTATTTGATTGTTTTTGACGACTAGCTATACAGTATATTACTTACGTATTGATAGCACTAGTTACAGGACTAGCTATACAGTTAGCTGGTGTTTTTTTAGCTGAGAATTGTGTTAGATATTGTTTAATGCTGGGAGTACGATAGTTAGCAGCACCAGGTGTTATAGGGAAGTCCCCACCAGCAAATAAATCATCATCATCATCTAATCTTGGTACCTGAAAATATATTACATCCATCATATAAACCAGTTTTTATTATACCAGCACAAATAAACCTTTTGTTATTGGTCGCCAGTCATTATATCGGCAGAAATAAAATTATTGGTTGCCAGTTTTTATAACAGCATGAATAAAATGTGAACCCTTTTGCTATTGGTGGCCAGTCTCTATACCAGCATGAGTAAAATGTGAACCCTTTTGCTATTGGTCGCCAGTCTCTATACCAGCAGGAATAAAATATTAACTCTTTTGTTATTGGTCGCTAGTCTTTATACCAGCATGAATAAACTTTTGTTGGTCACTATGGCCACCAGTCTTTATACCCACAGTCACAGGAATAAAATGGTAACCCTTTTGTTATTGGTTACTATGGTCACCAACTTCCTGTACCCATTTCTATTATAGGCGATTTCTGGTCAGTGGTGTAGTATTTTGATCTCATTAGTTGTTTGGCTAGTATGTTGTTCTGGTCAGTTGTCAGTATTTTGTTTTAATCAGTGGTGTAGGCAGTATGTAACAAAATGTAAATGGACGGATGTCCGAATGGACAGGGGCGATGGCATAATACAACTACGTATAAAACTTACCACCATTTTCGTAGTTCGTGATCTAAAAGGTGTTGAGTCAAAAATATCTTGTTCTTCATCTCCTTGGTTTTGTTCTAAAAATTCACGGATTTGTTTTTTCCGTTTCATAGTTCCTTTCTTAGCAGTTACCTCAACCAACTTCTTTTCTGTAAAAAATAAAAATAACATTATTAAGTTTAATCTACCATGGCAAGGATTGGGTGATTTTGTGTGGAGTTTAAAAGACTGTATTTAGTAGCGTAAAAGAAAATTGTATTCTTCCATTATATCTCAATAACACACTTATTAGCAGACAAAGGAGGAATTCCTGAAAAGAGAATTTCAAAATTTATTCCAGGAATCACTGAAGACTGATAAAAAATTGTGAATAGAGAATTAGAATAGGGACACTTAATCTTCTTTCCATAATCATGATGACTTACAGCTGTGGGGTGTGAAATGGAATGGCTATTAACAATTATCACCTGTGTGGAGTGAAATGGAATGGCCATTAACAATTATCACCTGTGTGGAGTGAAATGGAATGGCTATTTTAAATTATCGATACTTATTTTGAAACTAACATACAGTTAGGGGGATTCAGGCTTGAAAATTCCTGAAAGGGTTCTTCTTGGCTGTTGTCATTAGGACATTCTGGTCGTGAGTTAGTGTCCTTATTCGCTTTGAATCACCGTGTTTTACACAAGTACATGTACATTCACAAATCTTCACACTAACAGACTGTACAGTAGGAGAGACTGAACAACATTAGGCTAAGTTGCCACTCAAATCAAATCAAGGTAAACGAATTAATCAAGAATAGACTGGATTTATAATACCCACCTTTAACTGTTTTGATACTATCTAAGAATTGTTTATAATTTTTATCAGATTTAACAAACTCCTGACATTCTTGTTCAGATCTTGTTTCAACAGCATCAGATAATCTCTTCCATAATAATTTATCACTTGGTAAAACACATTTCATAGCACTGAAAATAGAATGTGACACAGTCTTTGAAATCAGCTATTCCATTTTTCGGTTTTAAACTTCAAACATTTTGTACTCGACACAGGGTTTATTGTCCACTTGACACAACTAGGTCATTTTGGGACTAACATATGATTCAATTCTTTTCATTAATTCGCTGGGCCTATAGCAGTGGGAGGAAATCGGACGACCTAGAGAAAATTCACAAGGCTGGACATGCAACCCTACTCCTTGTCAAATACCAGTGTAGGCTCGAAACCACATCACTTGACTCAATGATCTAAAGTGCACACGTCAGACAATTCAGCCACCCAACCCCCCATAGCTGGAATAACAAAAGAATATATCAATATTATAAGGTAACACTCATTAATCTTTGAACCATTAACTGTAAACACTAATCAAACAGCATAGTCACATGCCTTATCTTTGGGGATTTTGTTCAGTTCACAATCATATTTACCTTTCAAGTCTATGTATCTCTGATTTCCCCCAACTATCATCATCATCATCAACATTGGAAGTTTCATGGTGTTTATTTTCAACTTTTTTACTTTTAGATTTTTGTGCTATTTTATTTGACTTTGATTTTTTTTCATAAGCTGGCTGTTTAAAGGTAATCTCTTCAGATTCAGAATCTGACACTGATTGTTCACTATCTTTATTTTTTCTACTTTCACTTTTTGAGACAGATCGTTTTTGGGAACTGTTCTTTCCTTTTGAAGGAGATTTGACAGTCTTAGATTTAGTATTTTTGTTGGTATTTTTAGATGTTTTCTGTCTTCCAAGTTTCGGTAGAGCTTCTGACTCTGTATCTTCTGTTAACTCGCCATTTTGAATTTTACTTGTCGAGTTTCTAGATTTATTTTTGCCAGCAGTAGAGGGTTTAGATGAGGCATCCTTGTGACTAAAATCTTCTGTTAACTCGCCATTTTGAATTTTACTTGTCGAGTTCCTAGATTTATTTTTGAGTGCTGTAGAGGGTTTGGATGAGGCATCCTCGTGACTGAAATCACTTTCGTCTGTGGCTAATCTATCCCGCATGTGTATGCGACTTGTCGAAGTACTATAACATGTTTCACGACGTTTGGTTTGTTTTTGACGACGTTCTCTGGACGTAGTTATTATATTTAACACATCCTCCACCAATTCATTAGGACTGTCGTCTTTCTTCGTTTTACTATGATTTGACTTTTTGGTGTTTTTCTGTAAAACAAATAATTACTTTATGTATGTAATGTGAATACTGTAAAACAACAAATAAATATTTCTGGAATATGAATATTGTAAAACCAGTAATTAATCCACATGAAAGTGGTCTGTCAATATAGATGCGTACTGAATCAATGTGACACAAGGTACAATTTTATGGACGCACAATTACTGAGTTTAATACTAAGCGACGTTTTGATGAGGATACTCTCATCTTTATCAAGCAAATGATACAGGTGTGTGAATAGTAGGCAAATATATACAGAATATGCAACAAAATAACTATCAAATACAATTAAAACTTAACACCTTTGATTAGGGGGCCATTTACAACTAAACCTACACAGCGAATCAATGTGAACTGGAGTATTCTACTCTTTTCTGAAATGTCAAATGTCAATCAAGTGGCTCCGTGAAAGTTTAAAGACCTTGATCATACGTTGAGTAGTGCTGGGTATTGCCACTCCAGTCACGATTTGATATAATACATATTGTGATTCAGGTTCTACAATATGATTCTCATCACGATTCATAACCAGGTCAATATATATGTGTACTAAGAAAGCAACAGGATAAAATTTTGTAACATTTGGCATCATCTGTTGATGACATAAACATGCGCTTCTATACATGTAGATGTTAGATAGAACCTTTTAATTCACCTCTTTTTAATATATATGTACTGCTGATAAATAATCAATCTCACTAAATTTTCAGTACATTTTTGTGTGGATTAAGTCCTGAAAACTTAAATATTGTATAAATAATTATAAATAATACCACTAATTCATCTCCATATTTATTTTGTTACAGTAAGTTATCATTTATAATTAATGTTAGTAAATTTATTTTTAGATTTTACCTCTACAGATGTTTTGTTTTTATCTGTTGTATTTGTTTTTTTCACAGATCTTTTTCTCACTGTTTTAGCACTCTGAAATAATAGACTTATAATAAACTACTGTATTGTTTTAGCACTCCAAAATAAATACACTTCTCATAATTAAACAACTATCGTTTTGTTTTAGCACCCCGAAATAAATACACTTATTATAATTAAACAACTACTGTATTGTATTAGCACTCTTCTTATAATCAAACAACTGTATTGTTTTAGCACTCTGGAATAAATACTCTTCTTATAATCAAACAACTATTGTATTGTTTTAGCACTTTGAAATAAATACACTTCGTATAATAAAACAACTATTGTATTGTTTTAGCACACTTCTTATAATTAAACAACTATTGTTTTATTTAGCTCTCTGAAATAAATGCACTTCTTTGTATTGTTTCAAAGTCTGAGTCATCCTTCTGTAGCTAGTTGGTACTACCCTGCCAAATTATAACATCAATTTGAGGATAAATTGTTTACTCCTCTGATTTTTTATTTTTTAGTACGAATCTCATCCTATTTCTCATCGATGGTTTAATTCAAATGAGCCGTTTCCAAACCTATGTATTCTATACTGACCAAACAAAAGATTTTAAATTTAAAAGCCTGATAATACATGGTAGATCTGACAATTTCATCTAAACAGACTGTATCACAAACATGACATCTTGGGGGGGTGTCTAAACTACAGTTATCCTTGATAGACACTTTCGTCAAGTTACTGCACATTCTGAAATGAAATGGCTAGGTTACAAGGACTCCTGGAAAATGTAGCTCAGGACTCCTGGAAATGTAGCTGTGTATATATACTAATGTCCAAAAGAAAGTATACACTGTGCATTTTGTGCTGCATCAACCAAAGTCGTTTTTCCATGGTATACGGTATTAGGGTAGAATGTCAATTTATTTCACATTTTTATTTTGTTTAGAAATGTTGAGTTTGGATGCAAGAGACAAACTCAGTAATGCTTTATCAAATGTTTTTAATCTAAACAAAACTTAGTCATACTTTTAGTGTGTATACTTTCTTTTGGACATCAGTATATTATGTGATATAATAAATTCTAACTAACCAATTGAATATCTTGTTGAGTAAAATAACTCTCAGCAAATTTGGTATTATACACAACTTTCATGGCTTTTGTTTGTGTATCAAATTCTACCCGTTGTCCAGCCCATGAGGCTAAAACTGGTTTCACTACACGACCACTCCTCGTTTGTTTTAATGTTGATAAATCAACAATTTGTCCCTCGGGTGTTCCAACCATGGCTGAAAATAAACACAAATAATTTACTAAATCCTGGTAAAACAAAGAGAGAGAGAGAGAGAAAGAGAGAGAGAGAGAAAGAGAGAGAGAGATAGTCATTTCGGGACTAACACATGGTTCAATTTTATTTCAATAATTCTCTTGCGCGTAGGGGTCTATAACAGTGGAAGGAAACCAGAGGACCCGAGAAAACCCACAAGATTGGAAAGGCGACCCTACTCCTTGTCACGTACAATCGGTGAATCGAAACCACACCAGTTGACTCAATGACAGACCGTATGATACAGCGCGCACATGCTAACCATTCAGCCATCCACCCCCCTGTAAAACAAAGAAAGCAGAAAAGGTTCAACATAATGGATAAAATCTTTATGTACGAGGCGTCTTTAGCTGTGGGAGGAAACTGGATAACCTAGATGAAACCAACCATGTTCAGGAGTCTTGTCACATAAAATTAATGACTCAATCCATATCAGACCTAATACATGTTGTCTTGATTGCTCCAGACCTTCACTTTGCAAGGAGTATTGGTTTGGGATGAAAAACTGAGGTCCTGTGTACATGTAAAAGAACCTTTGACAAATGGAATTCGATATATGATAACGCCGTAGAGCCGCTCTCTGGAATTCGAGTAGGTGAAAATTACCCTTATAGCATACTGCTTGGCGTATGCTCGTCTTTTTTAGTCCCATTGTTATACAGTCTATTCCGGCGTGGTTTCCCCTTATCAGTAGGGCAGGACGGAGTGTCTATTCCTTCGGGTGGGACGAAAGAATGGGGCCCCGTGTACACACTGTCGATATAGGAGTAGGCTGTAGCGCCGCTGTCTGAGCAAAGTTTCCCTCACAGCACAATATATTGCGTATGCCCATCTTCATTAACCCAATCAGAGCAGAAAAGTAGGATGTTAAACCCCATTTCATTTCCACTGCAATTCATATAAAATACCTACTCTCATTTAAAGGATTAACAGGTTCTGGTGTTTTAAGGTTTTTGGATTTGTTCTTAACTGCAGGTGTTTTTAATTTAGATACACTTGAAGATTTATTGCTGATGGTGCCATTTGCAGAGTGACCTCTGAAATACAAATTATATTAACATTATAAAGAGAATAAACAAAATTAAAGAAAATAATGTAGTAGTTGTGTGTGAGAGAGCAATACAATTCAAAATAATGTAGTAGTTGTGTGTGAGAGAACAATACAATTCAAAATAATGTAGTAGTTGTGTGTGAGAGAGCAACACAATTCAAAATAATGTAGTAGTTGTGTGTGAGAGTTCAATACAATTCAAAATAATGTACATGTAGTAGTTGTGTGTGAGAGAACAATACAATTCAAAATAATACAATTCAAAATACTGCAATAGTTGTATGTGAGAGCAATACAATTCAAAATAATGTAGTAGTTGTGTGTAAGGGAGAAATACAATGTAGTTGTGTGTGAGCAAGCAAGAATATTCAAACATAACTTCAAGTCTGGACGAGAAAATAAAATTGTTCAAAATACTGAGCAAATATATCACAAAAAAACCCCACTTATTTAAAACTTTACAATAGAAAACAAAATAGTCACATACTCATCTTCACTGTTAAAATGGTTGCTTATGAGTTCTCTCCACTTCTTGGGAAATCCACGGTTGAAAGACTGAATCAGTTCCGGAGAAAATCCTGAAACCAGAAAAATGACATAAAAAAATACGTCAATTCTCCACGCCGATTTCATGTCAATTCTCCACACCGATTTTATAGAAAGGAGACATACTACTTCTAATCAACCTTAAAATAACATTCTTAAGAGGAAATTAAATGGGATTTTATATCCTACTTTTTAGTGCTGGGTATTGCCACTGCAGTCACGATACGATATGTATTGCCAATCAGATATCATGATTCTTAACTAGGTCAATATTTACCAAAAAAACATCAGAATAAATGAATAATTGATTTATTCCTGCCGATGTCGAAGAAATAAAACTGTTTAATTTTTATGATAATGATGTGGATCAAGATAAGGACCAAAATAATTTAAAAGTGTAAAGCGACAAAAAAAAAACCCCGACATACATCGATTCAGCGTCTAGAGATTTAAAATGCAAATTATGAGACAGTGAATCGCGATACATCAATTCAGCATCTCGCGATTCTCGCGATTAAATACGTCAATCGTGATACATCAATTCAACGATATATCGTGCCAGCACTACTACTTTTCTGCATTAAAATGAAAATTGCCATATGCCATGCAATGCGCTATTATATAAATATACGTGTGGTCTTCTGGGGATTTTTGGGGGAGGGAAGGGGGTGATTGGCTGGCAGAATGGTTAGCACGTGCACGCTGTATCATAAGGTCTGTCATTGAGTCAACTGGCATGGTTTCGAATCCCCGGTTGTACGTGGCAAGGAGTAGGGTCGCCTGTCCAACCTCGTGGGTTTTCTCCAGTTCCTCCAGTTTCCATCCACTGCAAAAGACCCTTACGCGCAAGCGAATTATTGAAATAAAATTGAATGATATGTTAGTCCCGAAATGACCTATTTTGTGTCGAGTGGAAGTTAAACCCTATTTCTCTCTCTCTTTCTTCTAGTTTTTGGCGCAACCGAACAACTCAACACTTTTCCCTGCCAGGTCCTTCCCTGCTCCACTAAAACCAGGATGGAAATTCAGAGGAACCTTTTTTTCGTCAAACAATGGGATCAAATCTGGGAATTCTTGGTTAGTGTGAAAGCACTTGACTCGCTGAGCCACCATGGCCCACTTTCTATATTAAGAGATGCTTACAACACACATGAAGTATACCTACCAGCATCAATGGCATCTAATTTTTGTATATTTCCAACTAATCTATATACAGAACCACTATCTGTTACAACTGTATTACCATCTCGTCTTTCAGCTATACTAGAACTTCTCCAATATTCATCTATACCACTGAAATATATATACAAAACAATATTCATCAAAACCATTGAAATATATACACGAAAGGAAATGAATCATTTTGATACACCACCATTGTTTAAAGGAGCTAAGTCTCTAACTCAATATCATCCAAAATCTTCAACATTTAAAACACGAATTATTTGTCAATTTAAAACAAAATTGATGCTGTGATCTTACCGGAAAAAGGTGGGCTTCTGATATCCAATATTTAAGACAAAATAAATATTTTACCATTGGTACACGAATCGTGTACCATAATGCGTTTCAGCCCCAGTTCTAGCAAGAGACTAGAGGAACAAGGCTAGACATATTGCAGCAAACCAAACGGCGTATGTAGACTGGAATAACCAGACGCTAGGAATTTGCACTCGATTGAGACTGATGGCTTATTTCACGGAACATAACTGATTTGAAATTTGAGTAAAAACGGGAAACGATTGAATGTAAATCAGTTTATATACATTCATATTACAGTATTATATGAGTTGCGACGCACTTGTGTCAATTTCTAGGTCCCAAATATTAGCGATTTAGCTCCTTTAAACTTAACCTGGGTTATTCAATGATCTGACCACTACCCATGTTACATGTACCTCTGATAATTAACTTCTCGATCCACACCAGATTCTAAAGCTACATGTACAGACAGTACATCTAATACAATCTCAAAAAAAACAATATGGGTTTTAATGGTCATATCCATCTACATGTAGATCGTGACATCTTTGTTTGATATAGTTAATATGGTTGGTTGTTTTTTTTGTCTATTTGTCATAGACTGGAAAACAGTCAAAATCAAATTATGTTAAAGGCTTTCCATAATTGATTAACAAGATTAACTTTTCCATCAGCAGAATGTAAAACTTCTCCTAAAATGACCTACTTTTACAACATGGCATCTGCACTAGTTACATAAAAAAAGTATTCACACATCTTTTGCCATTTCTTTTGTCAATTCTACAAGCTCATTATTCATTTCATGCAAGTTTGCAGCTTGTGAATTTTGAAAAGAGACTCTCTGTATATTTCCTTAGCAGAGGAACAGGGGTCGGCCTATTGTCAGTCATAGAAAATCAAGTAACAGAATGATTTTGACCGGGCCCTGAGTTCACAAAGCAATATCAGACTTATTAAACGGTAAAACCCACATTAATGCAAATGGTACAGTTCTTGGTATGAAAAGGATTATGTTAGACCTTAAAATAAACCAAAACTTGTAAATGATATCTGTTCGGATTGTATAAATAAAAAAAATATTTACCTTCTCTTCCCTTCTACAAGAACACCCTTGACCTTTTTTAAAGGTCTGATAATCCAATCACTTAATGTGAACACACGAACAGGTGCATCAATTTTAGGTGTACTGATGAGAGAAAGGTCTGACGACATTCTGGGTTTTCTTTTACCATTGACAACAATATCAGATGAAACTGTTTTCGGACTAACACTTTTAATCTTTGCAGAAGCAGAAGTCACTTTAAGTTTATTAGGAGATTTAGTTAATGGTTTTAAATGTTTTTTTGATTTTTTTGTTTTTTCCCGTTCTTTCGACGTGCAATCTGACACAACTGTATCGCTTGAGGCTGAACTTCTTGTTTCTCGTTTCTGAGTTTCTTTCATTAATTTGTGTTTTTTCCTTTTCGAACCAGACAGATTATCTATGCTACATGTATCGGTGGAATTAACATCGGTTGATTCTTCAATTTCATCGTCTGAAATCAATTGTCTTTTTTGACGTCTGCTGAAAGGTGTTTTATCTTGTGTATACGAATCTTCTGGTTCACCCTCCGAATAGGCAGACGAATCTGTATCTTTTTGTCTATTTTCCTTTTGTTTTGATCTTGTCATCATCTTCTTTTGAGGTTGTGGTGGCTTATTTACTTTTTCAACAAGAACCTTGTCCACCATTGTTTTAGTCTTGATACTATTAGTGATGGAAACATTTTCTCCTGCGCAAACCTCATTCACAACATTGTCTGTTGGATTTTCATTAGTTTCGTTACCACTATTGCTGGGTATAACAACATTATCGTCTTCCTTATTCTTCGATAAATCATTATTATTCTGTTCGGGTATTGGTACCACTTGTTTACCAACATTATTGACTTCATTTCTCAACGTTTGCTGACTAACTAGATTGGTAACTTCTAATAAAGCTGAAAGCAGAACAAACTACTAATCTAAAGATTATCACATTTACGAAATAAGTGTACCAATCTTTAGAGACATTAAAATTTCATTGATGTCCCTTTTGCAACCATTAAAACTGATATTAAATATTAAATGATAACCAAAATGTGACAATGACAACCATTAAGCAAATGTCTATTTGACCATATTCCAAAATTGGCACTGTATTTGATCTTGCAATCACTGTTTTATCAAAGTAAAAAAAACAAACAAAATCACATCTCGTTTCTGTCACTCAGAATTACAAATTGATTAAAATATTATTTCGTCTTCTTTTTTATACTTATGATGGCCTCAATTCCATATAGATCCGACTGGTTGTCATGGCATGGTAACTATTTATTTAACAAATCAGAGTTCACTAGAATTATTTGGTTAAATGTGCAATAGCAACATTTTAAGTACATACCTGTAGTAGGACCTTGTGAAACAATACTATTAGAAGTGACATCTATATTACTGAAAATACAAGAAAACATTCAATTACTTATGGGTCAAAGCAATGTTTAACTTGAACATCATCATTCCAACAATTATCATCATTCCAACAAGTATTTTAGAGAATTTCTTACTTAAAGTAGCTAAGTCTCTAACTCAATATCATCCAAAACCTTCGACAATGAAAACACGAATTATTTGTCAATTTTAATCAACATTGGTGTTGTGATCTTACCGGAAAAAGATGGGCTTCTGGTATCCAATATTTAAGACAAAATAAACATTTTACGATTGGTACACGAATCGTGTACCATAATGCATTTCAGCACAATTTGTAACAAGCGACTCGAAGAACGAGGTTATACATATTCCACAAGTCATGTCAAACGGTGACCCCATATTCTTATCTGGAGAGCATGCACAATAAATACTATCAGTGTAGACTGGAATAACCAGACGCTAGAGATTGCCATTGAATTGAGACTTCTGGCGTATTTCGCCGAACATAACTGCTTTGAATTTAGAGTAAAAACGGAAACGATTAAATGTAAATCAGTTTATTTACATTCATATTACATTATTATATATGTTGCGACCCATTTGTGTCAATTTGTAGGTCCCAAATATTAGCGATTTAGCTCCTTTATCTGTGGCATTACAATAAAGTTACATCTGGTGGGAACTACTATAATCAGGTCTGGAAATATTTCAGGAACTAATGAACTAGTAGTTGCCATTGTGAACTGTGCACCAGTTATGTTTTAAAGAGACCACTCTGTTCCGGACAAAATAAGAGGCACCAGAGGCTTCACTCTGAACCGAGATATTAGCAATTCAATTTTAGGCTAGCCTCGATCCCCATTACTACCGTTGGTACGATAAAAAACAAAGTCTTGATTATCCATTTTTACTTTAAATTATTCATCACAAAACGTATTCAAATCCACTAAAGATCGCAGGCTAATGATGGCACCAAGCATTGACTATGGTCTGGATGAGTTAATTAATGTCTAATTTAGATAACATTTCAAGCCTAAAGAAAGACCTGCAATAGGCAGATTTAGCTCTGGCATAATGCATGTTTAATTTGTGCTGATACTGTCTGTGACAAGTGCTTTATTTCCAGGGTTGATTATGATAAACATATTATTTACCTTACTAAGTTTTCAGCTATCAGTTCTTTCCAATTAACGGGAAATCCATGCTTAAATGTCATAGCTAATGATTCTGGAATACCTGAAATAAAACACATCAAAAATATATACGTATAAACTCATCTGCCTGATTTGAGAAATGATATGAAATGAGTTTTAATGTCCTACTCCTACTGGGCTAATGAAGACGGGCCTGATTTGAGATCAATGTTTCCATAGTTACCATATTTTTCCAAAATTTTGTGGATACAATAAACATTCCAAAAAAGATACATGTTTTTTTTTTAGAATATCTCTTGTACTCAATGTCATTTAGTAACTGAATTAGAAGTGATCATTGCTTGATCAGTTGGCTATATCTCAACACAGGATTTATCTATAGACGTAAAATTTTCAAAAAAGACCGACTGCCATCCCACAAAACAAAAAAATCAAATGAAATAGACAATTTTATTTGTATCCCAAATCAAAGACGTCCAGGCATTTTACAATATATATGGATAAAATTCTGAAAAAAGTACCGCTAAGAATATAATCAACATTTACCAAATAAACCTGTAATGGCGGCTATTTGCTTTATTAGATTAGGGTTAGTGCCGTATCATAAGACCTGTCATTGAGTCAACTGGCGTGGTTTCAATTCCTAGGTTGTACGTGACAAGGAATAAAGTCGTCTGTCCAACCTCGTGGTTTTTCCCTAGGTTCTCGGGTTTCCTCCACTGCTAAAGACCCCTACGCGCAAGCAAATTATTGAAATAAAATTGAAACATATGTTAATCCCGAAATAACCTAGTTTGTGTTGAGTGGACGTTAAACCCCATTTCGCTCTCTCTCTTTTATTAGATTAGATCAAAAGTTGTAAATATTTGATACCTGCATCAACAGCATCTAATAGTTCTATTTCTCCCATTAGTTGATACTGTGACCCACTACTTGTAGCTATCATATTAGATGATATTCGCTGAGTAACTTCACCACTATGCCAAAAACTCTCATCTTCCAAGCTAAAGAATACATATAATGGATTTATTATCACTTTGATACAAACCTAATTCAAAAGGCAGATTATTTATAAAGCCAATTATAGACGAATTATCGGTCTCACCAGGAAAAAAAATATAAGGCCACACAAAATAAATGTCTTGTTTCTCGGGCAACTGACAGCTGAAACTGTAGGGAGGGAGGGCGGTTTCTTTTTTTTTTTACTCATTGATGGTGCAAAATAAAATTTGGCTATTGCTGAAAATTGTTGGGGCGGGAGGGCGGTCTTTCTTTTTTTTTTTTTTTAAATGAGAAAGTCATTACTTGTTTACGTTTTTGCTTTCCGTTATATTCAACTTTATTGTACATACTTAAAACATAAACCCAAAATCAAGTCTACTAAAACACTGAGACTGAACACTGACTGAAAGGAAAATAATTTTCCATATTTAATTCACATAATTGAAATTGGTTTAAAATAAAATTCCATACGACTATGTAATAGCCCTCCATAAAGACAACAATATTTTTAAAAACTAAGCCTCTTTCACCAGGTGTATCAAAAATAATAATCATGGTAAACAGTATTTAAAACTAAATCTAGTATCGCCGGTTTATTTATAATTATTTACCGAATTCCAACCAATGCATGTCACACCGTGTCATCGGTATTGGAGATTGCCGGAAATACTGTTTCTTGGGATATTCGGTGTGTTTCTCAGGATATTCGGTGTTCTATCCGGTGTTTATATTGAATGACTATTTAAATCTAACTAACAACTGGTCAGTAAAACCATCAAATCGGTAATCCAATTATTATTTTCCGGATTATCGAAACTACCGTAAATGTGCTAATAATGACCCAGATTCTAAGGTATGCATTATGACGACTATCGTCATCGTATCGTATTCTTAGCTATAATTAATTAACCTGTTCTACGGTTCATTATTTTATCAATAGGATTTTCCAAACAAGGACCGATTGAAGCCGGCAATAATGAGCCGATTACGATCGAATGATTGAAATATTGTCGCCAATGACTTTTAACACGAATCATATTCTAGTTTATCAGGGGAGGTAATTAATATCACGTGATACAAAATGGAGGTTCTTTCGATATCAATAAAAAAGGCAAATCTGCCAAACTTCGCCATTGTTCGGATAAAAAAGACAGCATGTTCATCTGAATCAGTTTTAATACATTTGAATAGATATACATGTATGGCGGATGTAGGTACATGCGGGATATTTTTTTTACGACTTGCTTGTCGATGTGCGGGCGGGCGTTACATATTTATTTTTTTTCATCAAGACTAATAAATAGACTGCACGCGCAACCAATTTTGCGTGCGGGCGGTGCCCGAGAAACAAGTTATTTTATTTGTGTTGCCTAATCAACTTTGTATAATAATATTATATTCAAAATAAATACAATCAACTTTATATAATAATATCATATTCAAAATAAATGCAATCAACTTTGTATAATAATATCATTATCAGAAATCGTACAACTAAATTGTTTAGAGTAATCTATGCTTCACAAGTGTGCATGAATCTCCTAAAAAATCATTACAACATATCATCAGTGAAGTGTCAAAAGAATGTATCTAGGGAAATTAGTCAAATACACTTTTTTGCATTTTTAAACTCTCCCAATTAATATGCACATTTCTGTCTAAGCTGTGTATCTCTACGCCAATTAGAATTGTTCTGGGTATTATGTGTCCAAATGTTGTATCTTGATTTGTGGAAATTTTGAAATGCAAAAGGTTCTATTTCTTAATCTTTAGTAATTCTTAGATACACCCTTTTGACACTTCACCGACAATATGTATGACTTATACATTGGCTGATTCATCCCAAATTTTGAAAACAATCTCTTTTCAACATGCCTGATGTATCTGTATTGTCTAATCATGTCAAATCAAAAAAGAAACAATGACCAAATCCAATTTTTTTTTAATTTCCTCACACATAGACTCACTCATTATTAGATGTCAGAAACTCTTTAATGCCTGCTTAGCACCGACTGCTTAAAATATCTTAATATAAGTCAAAGTCAAAAGAAAGTTTATGGTGCATTTATACTATTTGTCAAATGACAAATGCTGAGATGTGACAGATCTAGTTCAAGTTCATTTCTACATAAAATTTTGAATCCTCCATGAAACTGATTTCTATGAATAAGCAATTCAAATTACCTTTTTTTACCTTCTACACAGATACCTGATGTATTAGGTAAAGGTTTAATGATCCACAAATATAACTGTTGTACTGATGTAACAGGTAATACTATACCATCGTTAACCTGAAAAACAAACAAAACATAGAAATAACTGCTGTACTGATGTAACAGCTAACCAGGTAATACAATTCTATCAGTAACCTGAGAAACACAAAACATATCAAACATTCCAGGACTTTCTTTTTTTTTTAAATTTTTGTGCATTGTTTGCATTTTACACAAGTTACGATCTTCATTCTGGTGAAATTCAGAATTTTTAAGGCAAAAACAAGAATTGTCATTCTCTAATTACTTGGAAAATCAATCATGAAAACAAAATAACAATAAGAAATGCAACTGTCAAAGGATAATACAATGATTGGTTCGAGATCAGTGCTCTTTCCACGATAAATCCAAAAGAATTTCAAGTTGTCTATTTTTAAATGGTAAATTTAGATCACAATATATTTACCATTTCCTGTTCCTGTATTTGCGGATTACAGTTGACTGTCTTCTCAAATAAATCATGTATTGATTCTAGTGACTGGTTCTTTGAGTAGTCTCCTGAAAAAGTTAATTCATTTTTAAACATTATTCATAAATGTAAAACAAGATGACAATCAGATATCGCAGCCAATTCTGTAAAGTCCTCAAACTTAATAAGCCACTGCCCTGTCAGTTTGTCTAAATGAACAATGAGTGTGACTAGCACACATGTCAGTGTTGTCTTTCAATCAATTGATTAGTACCAGTATTAAGGAAAAGTACATACCTTGAGAGGTGTTTAAAGCTGACAAAATACTGGAATCCACTGCCACTTTCATCTAAAAAACAAAGAGATATATTTATGATTTTTAAATGAAAGGGATTAGTGTGATGCAAAAATACAGTCCTCCAATCTGAAACGAGGGCTATACCCATTATCAAGCTTGTAAATAATAAATAGTCCTACACACATTTACTTGGGACAGCTTACAAATCTCTGCATTTATTCTGTTCTGTCAAACTTCCTGTATCAGGGGCGTTCAGACTTGGAGTGTGTGCTACCTCTTTTAACATAAATCTTTTATAAACTCTCTCAAAAGCCATATTAATAGCCATTCCAATCAATAATGTGGTACATCTACCCATAGGAAGATAATTGACATTCATATTAATATTATTCTGATATCAGCTACTGAAAAACAATTTTGAACCAGTAGGCCTACTGTTTTTTTCACAGACCACTTTTTTTTCCCACAAACCCTATCACTTCTCGGACCCACAATATTTTATCACAGACAGGTTAGGAAACACTGCTCTTGAATTGGACATATCACAACTCAGGTATCATGTCATTTCTTAACACCTTTTGGGAAAATAAACAGTTGTAAACCTGACACTCATTATCTAATTTAGACAGACCATGAGTAGGATATGAAATGGAATGAAATGGGGTTTAACGTCCTACTACTGTTCTGCTCTGACTGGGATAATGAAGACAGGCAGTAGGATATGAAGTCATTTATTATTGTCATTGAGATTATATATTGATAAAAATATACCTGTAATGGCATGGGACTCTGTTTAAAAACCTCATCAAAAGCATGTTGTAATTGTTTGCTGGTATTCATGTTCTGTTTTTAATAGTGAATTCAACTTCTTAAAACAAGGTAAGATTTCACATTTAAATTAATATAGAGCTCCCTACAAAAAAAGGAAAATAATATAATTACGGTACATGTATAATTACATATGAGAGAGAGAGAGAGAGAGAGAGAGAGAGAGAGAGAGTTTAACATCCACTTGACACAGACTAGGTAATTTTGGGACTAACATATGGTTTAATTTTACTTCAATAACTTGCGCAGTGGGAGGAAACCGGAGGACCCGGAGAAAACCCACGAGGCTGGACAGGCAACCATACTCCATGTCACGTACAACCGGGGATTCGAAACCAAGCCAGTTGACTCAATGACAATGATACAGCGCGCACATGCTAACCATTCAGCCATCCACCCCCCCCCCCTACATATAATGAGGTAGTATGTGGCGGTATTTGATAACATCACTAAAAAATATGCAGTTGGTATTTCAAAGGTCTTGGTAGTTTCTAACAGTTTGTGCCTACATGTATCTTTCGTAAACTGGGTTGGTTCAAGCCCATTTTATTCATTCTGTCTTAACTGTGACCAGATAAATAGGCCTGTCTTTTCCTCTTTCTATATGGGTGTATTATTACATAGTGATGTTCATGATGTTTTGTAAAGACTTTTCAAAGCAAAAAGTTCATATAATCACTATATAAAATGAATTTATATGTAGGGGTGATGATTTTCCGTGATCGCGGAAATCGCGGAATTGTCCACTCAAAACGGAATTTGAAATCTCACACGGAAAAAGACGGAAAAGCCGATATTTTCTGATACTAAACACAAACTCAAAATAATTTTGCAGTTATCCAAGTATTTCATCTTTTTATTCATAAAAATCGGAAATATTGAATGATATCGTGTGGTTTTGTTACTGTCTATTTTGGTATTTCGCTACTTTCATTTCATCATTTAGGAATCATAATTTTAATCGAAACGAAAACCCGTCTTTCATGTATCCCATTATAAAATTACTCTGTAGTTTAACTTGAATTAACTTCATAAAAGTAAAAATCGTTTCATTTACTTCTTATTTTACTGCCGGGCTCGTGACTCGTGTTTATCCGCATTAACCACGTGACATCAGAAATATACAGTAGCCTTGTGAATCCAGCCCTTATTCTCGAAGAAACGGTAGTAACTACGAAGATGTCTGGATAAATCGTGACTACACCTAGCAGCTGAGAAAAATGGCTTCGTCTGCTAAAAAGATGAAACGAGCTCACAAGATGTAATTTTCTGTTATTTAATTCGGGAAACAGGTTTAAAGAATAACTAGTCATTGAACATTACAAGTCATTCACAATTCAACATTTGTTATCATTGGTTTAAAATGATCCGTTTTGTAATAAAAGGCATTTTAAGATGTTTTATTCATTTATTCATAAAATAACATTTTATCTCGAAAAAACGGAATATGGTCAGCTTTGAAACGGAAAATAACGGAATTAAAAATACTTAAAACGGAATTTGCTATTTTCTGAAACGGAAAATCATCACCCCTATGAGAGGACCAGTGGACCAGTGACAGATTGAAATGAAGCTTAATAATAAGAAAATATTTATAAGCACATGTGATGTATCCAGACAACTTATCCCAAAGATCACTTGGCCCAAGACCACTCGGAGTCCGAAACGTCAACAGACCGATTCCGAAAAGCTGCCAAATAAGTTCGAACCGTCGTCAAACTGAGTCCGGAGGTCGTCTGTGTTGAATCCGAAATGACGCGGGACCGAAATGACGTGCTACCTAGAAGAACACTCATTCCAAGATAGAAGACCACTCGTCCCAAGTTTAGAAGGCCACTCATCCCAACAAATAAAGTGGTAGTTGTATTTAGAAGACCACTCACCCCAACAAATAAAGTGAGAGAGAGAGAGAGAAATGGGATTTAACGTCCACTCGACACAGACTAGGTCATTTTGGGACTAACATATGGTTTAATTTTATTTCAATAATTCGCTTGCGCGTAGTGGTCTTTGGCAGTGGGAGGAAACCGGAGGACCCGGAGAAAACCCATGAGGTTGGACAGGCAACCCTACTCCTTGTCACGTACAGACCTTGTTAATGCCAACAGCTTGTTAATGTTAAATTTTTAAAATTTAACTATTTTTGTTAAATAAATAATTGGAGATAAAAATAAAACATCTTATTAATAGAAAGGTTTACATTAAAACGAGTTATTTGAGAAGTACTTAAGCGTAACTTAGGTCTATTTTTGCCAAGGCTACATGTATTTTAATGTTATTCTTGAAAAGTTAAATTAAGACATTCACACTTCGATTTTTTAAAAGTTTATTGATTGACTTTGTTTACATTTCGTCATTTCGTAATCGGTCAAGTTCTCTAACAAGATCTGCCTTTCTTTTCAGATAGTTCCCTCCCAGCAGGAAATGGGTTTGAAACACGTTGAAAAATGTAAAATGGGAGTGATTACTGTCTTATAAAATACAATTGCATTTATAATTTACCGCATCTTTACGAAGAGTTCAGATTTTCCGCCATTTTCTTTACAGGACGTAGACGCGAAT